GTATCTTCACAATTATGCACATGTTAACTCTACTACAAGTAGGACACATCACATTGTCCTTCATTGTTTTAAAAAACTTTAACTTTTTTACTGAAAAATATAATGTTATCTATTCTTCAAGATTGTAGTATTTCTTAATGTGAAAAAATTGACAAGATTCTACGTTTAGACGGTGTAGTTGTAGCTGTTGATATCATGATGTGTGTTATTCTTCATATTTTATTATACATTATACGTTGTGTTCCTGAAAAAGTGACTCCAAAGTGACAAATTAACCTATGGTGATAATTTCGATCACAATGTTAATCCTATTGATGCATTCCTTTGCGTGTTTTAATGCTGTCTTAAATTCCTTGGAGCAAAAAACAACTTTTGTGCTTGCAACGAAGATATGTATTATAGCGAAGCAAATAGCTGGCAAGAATTGATGCAAATTATCAAAGTACGTAAGAAGATTTACTTTATGACAATCTTCTTTTTCATTCGCCATTTGTTTTTAAAAATATGGTTTTGTCCTGAAGCCCAGTTATTATTGGATAACAGGGAAATTACCGCAACGAGGAACATGTACATTGTAAAGTAAAAAAAAGCGTAAATTAGAGAATGTGCGCAAAACACAAGTGCGTAATCGATATACCACCCTGGGCGCTTTGCGCTGTATAGCATTCTTGGTTCCTTACTTACGTCCAGTAGCATACACGCCCATGACACGAGAAAAATTAACTGAGCTTTAAACATACGGGGGAAATGAGAAAGAGGTTGTCGATATTTAGCAAAACTCTCATGGCAAATTTAAGAATCTTTAAATTTGTTACATTTTATATAAACTCAATCTTATGTTTGTATATCAAATGCTAACTACTAACTGCTAACCCATAATGAAATTAATCGAAATTTGAAAGGAAGGCGCTTCTCCTTGATACCCAAACATTCAACGATGAGAAAATCTTATAGAAAACTAGTGTATGGTCACAGAATAATGATTATACAAAAGGGTCACTCAGGTGTACAACGCGTCCTCATGTCAGCCATTATTCCAGCCAGATGATTATAATTTCTCACTTGTTTACAACCACAGAAATTACATGACGCCAATACTTAATAATGAATTCAAGCATATTTTGACTTAAAAAATGACTTCGGAATATTTTGAAAGTTTGGAAAAAGTCAAAAACCCTGATCCTCTGGCTGGAATAATGGCGGCTACTATGCGCGGCACGACATGGGCCAGGACAAAAACAATAAAGGTTCTGACACGAGTGACTCTTCTGTATATTCTTATTATTTGGTATGTGCTGTAGTCGAAAACCCGTATAAGAGTTTGTATTCACTTCATTTACCAGAAGTAGCCTCTACTATTTTTGGGCAAAATGACCATGACTAACAACATGGCAAATGTGCCATTTCCTCAAACCCGTACGAAAGTCCTGAAATCAGGACTAACAAAACAATTTCAATTAATTATACACACAATAAAAAAATCACGTGGTGTTCAGGAGCCTTATCAAAAAATATAAATGTTACTTGTCCTTTAAGATTGAAGTGCTTTTGTGATATCTTTAATTTCAATCTAAGGCATGTTTCAAACGTCGCATTTTACATGCACCGAACGCATTAAAGACAAAAGAAAATGAAATGAGTTTCCTGGTTATCTTTTGTTTTAAATGCGTTCGGTTCATGTAAAAATGAACGTTTTAACTAAGCCTAAGTAACATCAAACACTTTTAAGTTCTACGTATGTTCTTTTGTTGTTTTCTCACAACTTTCATCCTTAAATATAGCTCCTGTCAACATGTCCGATTCTTATTAATCATAATTACGTATTAAATTATTAAGTCATTGGTATTAAAGTATCTGTTTCCTAAAACTTTAATGTAAGAAAATTGACATGAAAAAGATGTAATTGTAGCTGATGATCTCACCTTGTGAACCATTCTTTATGTACATATATACCTTATACGGGGTGTTCCCAAAAAGGAAAAAATACAGGATGTATCAAAAAACAGTATTATAAAATTCAGTTTATTCTGAAAATTTAATTCCTGATCGCCATGTCCCACTGATGCATTTTCTGAACTAAATTATAGGAGACTAATGATGTGCATGAAAGTCGTTTGATTTAGATTTGGAATCTTGCAAACCATTCAAATCGGCAAATCAACTTTCGAATTATGTCTATTCATACAATTAGTTGTATTGTTATGTAGGAGCTGTGTATAGTAATTGTGATTGGTTTATTGGTAGTCACTTGACTTGAAATAAATGCACGACGGTTTCCTGAAAGGAAAACAAGTGAAAAGATGTTGCCCGCTCAGTTTAACATCATAGCGCATAAAACAGCCACCAAACCGAAAACTGAAATAACGTTTCTCGAGCTTATTAAACGACGAAAATCAACTAGTAATAAAAAAGAAGTAAGAAAACACTCGGAAGTCAACCTAAAATGCTGAGGTCAATCATAGAATTTTGCAACGATATTTTGCAGGCCAACTCCCCCGCAGAAAAAAATTGATTTTATTGAAGAGTTGACAAAATTTATGATTTCTTTCCCTATATAAAAAAACACTTAATGTACTCTCACTCGGGAAATAGTGAGCATAATTTCCAGAGAGTCCCAACATAGGTTTGGTGTGGTAGAAAAATGTGAAAATTATTTAAGACACTACATATAGATGAACAAACATATATTGTAACAATTTTGTAGAATACAACGATTATTTCTTCACTAACATACAAATAGAATAAAATTATATTAATATGCTTTAAAAAACAAAGTTCAACAAACACTGCGCAAAAAGAAAGTTTCTCTCTAAATAATTTTTTATAAGTGCTAAATGAATGAATACCAGGCAGTCTTAAAAATGGCAACGGCAATTGTTCTGTTTTGACAAAATGTGGTTACTTTTCAACTTCTTTTACAAGTTGACGGTTACCAACAAATATGGTTGCTGAATGTGAGTGAAAGTTATTTTACAACTATTGAATGCTAATTTAAAAAATTGGTATTTTTGAATTCAAGATACGACACCTCCTTTTCTAAAGCACCAGTGATCTTTACATGGCAGTTGGCAAATTGCTATTAGCCTAAAAAATGTTGTTAAGTTATCTGGGATTCATTTATTTAGCATTTAAAATTTAAAAATCAAAAGAAAAATCTAGAAACGTAAAGAAAAAGTGCAGTAATGAAAATTCTGCATACAGTCAAGCTACTCGTAAACGGACATCATTGAGACCACAACCTAATGTCTGCTTACGGTAGATGTCTATTTATTAGATGTTATAAAAGATATCTATTCACTATACCTAGATATATACACAACAAAATGAAATAAATTTAATGATCTAAAATTGTTCACCATGGATTTGGAAATATGACATCTCGAAAAAGAAAGACGTTGAAATTTTTCCATATTTTTCATTCTCATAACTTGATGTAGTTCTTAGATGTTGAAGTTACTTTTGTTGTGAATGATTTTTTGACCATTTATATGAACTAAACTGATCACTTTTATTCTAAAACCATCCATAGTTGACGTTTGCTTTGAATTTTCATGAGAAATTGCTGTTGAGATCTTAAATCATATCACCAATGTTATAGTATCATTCAAGTACATATATACTTTAGAGCATGCGCAAAGGCAATCAAGTGTCATAATATTCACAATGAGTGTGTTTGTATCAAGAAGCAGCTTCAATTTTATATGCAGCAAAACATCCTTGAGCCATCTCTAAAAGCCACACTGTAATAAAATCAAATTATTTTTATTCACTCTCATGATTACTTATGCATTGTGCTCACATCAAAACGTCCATATGAGATGATAATTTTTACGTTTCATTTTTATAAAAAGTGAACAAAGTGAACAACAAGCTTCGTCATTTTAAAAATGTAAAAGTTGACATCTTCCAATTTTGACAACAGATGACATTTCAAAGAACACGTGACCTGGGAGACGTTACAAAGTACAACAAGAAATCCACAGAGAACCATGGTACATAAGTTTGTCATTTCTTTCATTACGTCACTTCCTGAAATAAAGCTTCTCCTTCTTGTACTATCGTTTGAATTAAGAGTAGACGATAGAGTTTTACAGCCAAGCCATAAAAATATCAAACTTTGGCAAAGTAACTTGCAGTATGTCCACTGATGTTTGACTTGATGTTGTTAAAAATTAATCACCATAAATTATTGATTCACAAAGTAAAAGTGTTCAAACTTTAACAATGCTTGATATCGATTTTTTATTAATAAATTAAAACTTGTCATTTAAAATTCTTCCATGTGCAACATTGTCGTTTGTTTTCTGACTGTTTATATTGCAAACTTTCTTTGACTTTTGTTAACTTTTCCTGTTCATAGTGTTTGGAGTGTTCAGTCACAATAGTTCCAATGTTTATCAAGATGATGAACGTCAATCATAAGTCATTTTCTTGTAGAGATTATGATCTACTTTTTAACAGTCAGTGAGAAAGACAGCCAAATTTGTAGTTTTTTTTGTAAAAATTGCAAATGTACCATTGTTTTATTGTAAATTTACGTTTTTCAAATTGATAAAGATGAAAATATTCATATAACCGAAGTAACAATTGGGCTGTCTTTATCTCTCTTAACAACTTATTGCATTTTGTATATCAAAATGCAATAATTAAAAAGTATTAAGAAATTATTTCAGTGCAAGATAGTATTGATTTAATTAAAAACAACTTGTTTTTGGTGTAAAAGAGCATCGAAAAAGGTGCAATATTAAAACCATCCTACACTGAATACATTTGCTTGAAAATTATATGTTTACATGGTGTGGATATAAACAAAATATAACCAAGGGTACAATAACTAACAAGACTTTGCACTTTATTTGTTTGTGTAATAAGATAAAAGTCAATAAAATTATTTTCTTGCGCAAAGAAAATTATCATCTTAGACATGAAATCATTTGGGTTCATGGTTTGAGCTTCATTGTTATTGAGTTTTCATTTTTAATTAACTTCAGCTTTTATACATCATCTCTCTCAATATTGACATTATCGTACATTGCGGTCTCTGTACAGAAAAATCAAACTTAGACAAAGGTCGTTTCATGAAATCATATGCAAACAGACATTAATTGAAATGTCAACAATGATAGGGATCATGCATAAAAACTGAACAAGATTTTCTTAAAGATAATATAGTCATTATCCAAAATGGTGAGAAATTTTATCATCAAAGATCAAATTTATTCTCTTGGCAAGATGATTTTTACACATTGTAGCGGGACCTTTAAGGATGAAAAAATTAAAGCAAGTTTGCGTTTACGACAGTAGCATAAAGTTCTTGAAAGTATACTCACAAGCGGAAGAAATAATTTTACAATCTTAAAATATTTCAAATCAATCAAATATAGGTAACCATTAATTATATACCTATCATCAACAAAGAAAAACTTTGGCCCACAAAAACCCTGAGTATAACTATAAATACTTTGTAGGTTATTAACATCAAATACTTTCACATACTTAGGCGTGTAACTTATTAATAATTTATCTGCTGAAGGTGAAAAAGCAGCGTAAGTTAGACAGCGAGTAATATCACGCGTGTACTTTCCAATGACTTTGTCGGTGATTAAGGTCTCCTTAATTACGTCATCCCAACCATTAAGAAGTTTGTCTTCATGCCACATACAGTAAATTATCTGACCCTTAAATTTAACTTTAGCAAACACGTGATACTTAGAGCTACATGCAAGTACGTACACATTTCGATAATTTTCAAAATTCACTGATATTTCTTTTCTCTTGTTTTCAACATTGAAAAACACAAAAGAATCAGTTTTTTGACAAGCAAATGATACATCACTCACCTCAAAAATTTTGTTTGTACCTTTTAGTTCATCGAAACTATAAACAAGTTTTGTCAAATCATCATTCCAAAGTTCAGGAATATTTTTGGCCGTAAGCAAAATAACTCCATTTTCTACAGCAACCATGTCACTAACTAAACATTCCTTGACAACAAAGTCAAATATGTTCAGATTGTATATAATTACCCTTGAATTTTCTTCATTGCTCCGATACAGAAATTTTCCATTTGAGCAAAATTTTTCGTTACGAAAACTGTAACTGTTAGTTAAACATGCACGCGGTATTGAATAAAGATAAAAGTCAAGTCTGTATTCAAACAAAAGAACATTGTCGTTACACAAAATAAAATAATACTTTTCTGCTCCATTAAAGGAAAAGCTATGTATGTTGTCATCGAAAGGATCAAGAGGAGAAAAGAAAGTTTGGGAATCAGGATCTAAGTCAGGAAGTTTCTCACCAGTGGGATTTACAATGAAATGATCATCCATAAAAAAACGATCGCCACAACACCAAGAATGAAGACCAACAGTGAACAAAACATCAAGCTCACTTAAAAAACTTGACGGTAAATGATCGTCGTAAACGAAAGTTTCATAGGTATTTGCTACATCAAATATTTGAACCACTTTTCCTTTCTTAATAACACACAAATATCTTCCAGAATTAGAAAAACACAGTGAGGTCACATTATTACATCTAATACTGCGTTTCTTCTCACCTTTCTCGACGTCCCATACTGTCAAAGTATCTTTGTAACTAGTGACCATTGTGTACTTATCCTTGGAAAAACATTTGTTGGTAAAGAACTTAGAAGTAGAATCATCACATTGGAACGGACTGGAGGAAAATTTACCATTAATATCTAATATCTTATCAAGCTGAGAAGCAAATATTAAATCTTCGAATGGATGAAAGACAACGCAAAATTCTTCCTCTTCATATTGCTTAAACTGACCTGCAATATTTTTTATCCATAAACATCTGTTTCTTCTTAATGAAAAAAGTTGCACGATAAATCTTTTATAACCACAGACGACGTAATCATGATTTCGTGAAACATCAACAGAAATCAAATAATGATCGCAACGTAATAATCGAGCCTTTACAAAACCCGTGTCTCTGCACTCTACATATGGTAAATCTTTGAAACGTGTTTGAAACATTGTGGTGGCTTGAGACGAAAGATCTTTGACTTCGTTGGCAACGTATTGCAAAAAAATTACTTTATTGTGACAGCGCATAGAGTACGTCATTACAGAATAAACTTCATTAAATAACAATCGAATGTCCTCAGAAATAAGAAAGTACACATCATGTGCGTTGAATAATTTAAAATTTTCAAAAGTACGACGAGAGTCAACCAGCATACAAGCAACTAAAACTTCTAAGTCAACAAGATATTTACCAACATATTCAACGATATAATCATTATCAGAAATATCAAGTAAATGAAGCAACCAATACTTGACTGAATAACTCACTGACGCATTTTTGATGATGTCATAGTTTACACCTTCATCTTTGAGGTTATCCAAAGATTTTAAACAAAATTCTAAAACAAGTCGAAGACCACAAGAAGGTTTTACTGAGTAATCATGTTCTCGATCATCCAACAACCAATCATTTAAGGATTTGTGAAAAAACGAAACACATCCTTTTTCATTGCTAACAAACAGACAAGAGATAATTTTCCTAACCTTAAGTGATATGCGATTCGAATTCATAGAAAGAACGTCATCGATCATTTTCCAAGGAAGAGGTTCTTTAGCAACAGCCAGAGCATTTAAAATTGACTGAAACTTTTCGTTACTGATACCAAACGAATCTAAATCCTTACTCAATCTTGTTAAGCAAATTTCGTAATAATCATTGAGATCTTTTGGTATGGACGCATTCAACAAATCCTGATTTTTGACTTCGCTGCTAAGAAGTGATGCAAGCAACATAAGTCCGTCAGCTTTTTCTGCCAAACTGTTTTTAAAACCAGGAAGGCAGTCAGTAGAGCCAATTCTTTCTTCAATCAATAATTTAATATCCTCTAAATTGCGATCATCGCTACAGTTAATGAACAGTGGATTGAATTTTTCGAGCTTATTCAAAGCAACTTCGTTAGGTCTGGTTGTAATTACAAAACGAAAATAAGGCGGAAGTTTGTGTAAGTGATTAGCAAGCAAATAAGCAAGGTCATCTCTTTCTCGATAACCACATTCATCAAGAGCATCAAGCACAACTAACATTCGCTTGGGAAATTCTGAGATATTATTACACAACTCAGTAAAAAGAAGAGAAAATAATCCTTCAACATTCATGTTATTCAAAGGCTCAGAGAGTTGACCTGAGAGTTTTTTCACAAGAAGTTGTTTGTAAGCAGGAAAATTACAACTAATTTGCATAGCTAAAGATTGAAGAAATACGTTGGCTTTATTGTAACGACTGTTGTTGTGTTGAAAGAAATGAACTGCAGTCAAATAACTTGGATAACGTTTACATAAAGTAGCTGCAATTACAGATTTACCCATGCCAGCAACAGCAGAAATAATAAATGCACGATTTTGAGAAGTATCATCTTCGAACCAATCTAAAAACTCTTTAAAAACCCATTCCCGTGTTCCATGCAAATATTTTTCATAATGATACCTAATTTCACTTTCAAAGTCAAAGCTAACAAGGTTTTTTGTCAAAATATCTTCTTCTGGACCTAAGTGAGGGTGATGTCGTATTTCATGTACTTCGTCTTTAATTACTGTGACAAAGTCTTTTACCTGTTGTAAATCTTTCTTTACACCCTCCACTGTTCTCATAATACCTCTCTGATCAGTTTTAATATCAGTTAAATCGCTCTTTAATCTATCCCATTCTCTCAATATTCTTTCACATTCTTTATTACTACACAAGTCATTTCTCAATCTATCTATTTCTTCCTGACTTATTCCTAAACGAACTATTGGTTCGCTTATTTCTAATAAAAAATTTTCAAATTCATCAAAGCTTACTGAAGTGTTAGGTAAGTGAGCAAAACGGTCATTACGAAATAACCTGATACGGGTAATATCTGCTTCAGTTGAATAATCAGTGGGGTTATTTACTGACGTCCATAATGGATCACGTGGTGGTTTTAAACCACAAATATTACGCAGGAGAATATAAAGTAAAGTAACGTCGAACTTATTTTCATTTGGTAATATTGGAGGAGGAGGATACAGTAGATCCCATTGATGTTGCTTTAAAGTGTGATTATTTTTTAGAATCAAAAGCTGATTATAAATTTTAGGATTATTTAAAACGTAAAATAAATCAGTACCTGACAGTTGTTTCCTCAATGTTACTCTTAAAGCTTCTCCACCAACATCAACAATCAATCTCATCAACTTAAAACCATTAGTTTTCTTTTTAGAGCTCAAGACAGATTCCATGTCAATGTTAGCTAAAAAAAGTAGGTAAGACTTTAATGGCACAAATTCATTGTGATTATAAAGGAAAACCTGCGGCCGGTTACAAGAAGGCAGAGTAGTTTTATCCATTAGATGGCAAATTGTTTTGAACTTTTACAAAATCTCTTAAAAGGGAATAATATGTGATTTGAACTGAGCAATTATTGAAATAAAATATTGCTTCAAAGATTACAAAAATTTCTTTCCCCTAAGAAACATGTAAACACCATTTTTTACAAGTTTGAAAATTGTACTATCCGACGAATAGTGCTATCCACGCTTTGTGCAACTGTCTATGATTTTAAGCCTTTCTGAAGAAAAATTTGAGAAATTTGGTCAAATCAACAAGCTTTTATAGCATCTTGAAGTTGTGCATTTTTGGCCCAACGCCGTCGTTTTCTATAATACAAAAGAGACTGGTACTAGAAGGTACTTTGACGTCATCCAATACCTTCAGCATTCGGGCATATTTAGCTTATATTAAACATATACATTCTTTTACGCTGTTTAATTATATGTCTTGCGAAGAAAGCAATAAATCAAAATCAGTCAGATAATTCTGACAAAAACTTTATTCCGGGATACGTGACAGAAAACTCCGAAAGCAATGAAACTTGTGCAATAATGATTCGGACTTTGACTCCAAAGCCTGGATGGTCGGAAAGACACAATTTCTAATTTCATCTATTTTAAGCCCTGAAAAATTAGCGTTCTTTTGATTCGGCAAACAATTAAACTGACGCTCCAAATCCTCTGGTTTTAATCGAGCCGAACAAAGTGTTGAAGCACTGGAAGGCTCAAATACGCGCTTTGCTTTAAAACCCAGATATTCCGTCTTCGCTTGGCCTCGAACCTTTTATCATTATAAGGCATAGTGTGAAGACTCATACGAGAGCAAAGGCTTGACTCATTCGTACAATTGGCTGCAATGCAATTATTTACCTTTTTTCTGCTTTTACTAGTGCAAAGGCAATGCTTTTATGCGCTTATAGACTTAAGTTGTGCTCAGTCAGCATTGCCTTGATAGCAATTGAATATACGACTCGTGTAACACAAGTACCTTGGATGACGTCAGAAAATTAGCTAGTTTCAGACTCCTCATTTTCACGGACATGGTTCACAAGAATATACGATTTTAGTGAATTAAACGCTTTTACAAATATCAAACGATTTGACCAAATTCAAAATTTTTTCTTCAACGAGGCTTAAAATCATCGACAGATTTGATATTGCTAAAAATTATTTTTGGTGGAAGGGACACTTTAAGACTCACAAGGTAAAATGCATGTTATTTTCACAGTAAAAGAATATAAAAACGTACATAGAAGGGCTAAACATTTTATCAGTCTGGCTACACCACTGAAAATTTTATTCTTTAAAAATTCATAACCATTATCATTGTTTAGAAGGTTTTATGATAAAAAAAATGAGCAGGTGTAATTCATTTCGACTAATGCTTCATTCAAGACTTAGGACCTAAGGAAGACACAATGTAATTGAGGCACAGTTATAGGAACATATAGTACAATTTTATATAGAACGTACAGTAGATTGCATTGAATATCTTTGTGCCATGCATATCTTATTCCACAAGTGATTACCAAGATATCTTTATAAAGATATCTTTTCGTAAAAAGTTTATATTATAATGGGAAAAGGGAATCATTGTGCTGTTTATGGCTGTGATAACGATAGGAGATATCCTGAAAATACATCGTTTACGATCACGTTGGTATTCTTCGCTTTTTTTCTCCGAAAAACGAAAGACAAGAGTGCTTGACAAAAGCTGATCAACAAGAAAAACTTCAAAGTGACTACTAATACGAAGGTTTGTTCAAATCATTTTCTTGCTGGTTATCGATCCGAGGGCTGTCCTAATCCAACTTTGTATCTGAAAGGATACCATTCAAAAGAAACCAGTAAACGATTACCACCGAAAGATAGAAGCAAATCAAATATTCCGAAAATAAAGAGACGAAAAATTCTGTGTGAAGGAGTACTGAGAAAAGCTTTGAGCATGAGGATAAGGCATTTTTTGCAGCTGAAATCACTGTTCTTGAGCAGTATACTGATACAAAGTCTGTGCACGAAGACAGTACACAAATAAATTGTACAACAGACTTGGTTGTTACAAGTTATGATTCTGATGATAGCTATAGCTTTTAAAGTGATAAACATGACCTCATTGACTGTTCTTGCAAGGGAGATGTTAAAACGTTGAAAAGAAACTTATTTATTGAACAACCTATTTGCCAGACGAATTTCTACCGCTACACTAGATTGTCACTAGAAAAGTTGAATTTAGTTTTTAGGCACAAGCGTACATATCCACTGTTTCTCCCCACGTAGCAGACATAATGCTTTGCTCCAGATGCTTTTTCATCGATTCGTATCGAAATAAATACGGTGAAAAAGTAGCCGGATTTTGTATCAAAACATAGTTACAAATTTCTCGACTGTGAGCAAAGTTTTCGTCGCTTTCACCGTTTATAGCCAACGCAACTGCTCGATAAAAGCAATTGCCGTCTCCACATACTTTTACTTCTTTTCTCCCCACTGGTAATGAATACCCATTACAACAAATAGCCATTATAATGGAAATAGGTGCTTTAAATTGAGAATTCTCGAAAATATCACTATTACAGATACATTTCTAAAGAAATGTTCGCCCCCTGGCGATCCCAGAATGCATTGCAAAAACCGCGCAAATTTAAGGGAGACTAGCAACCGGCAAATACCTCATTGGGGCACGGTGATAGGAACATATAGTATAATTTTATAGAGAACATACAGTAGATTGCTTTGAATATTTTTGTGCCATGCATAACTTATTCTGCAAGTGATTACCATAGTGACAGTCACACAGTAACATTTTTTGACCAATAGGTACACTGAGCTGGCAAACTACATCCAGTAATATAATTATATATACAGCAATAAGTTGCACAGAAAGTGGTCCTACTGTATATTCTCTGTACTGTGGTTGGGGTGACATAAACATTTGGATGTAATGATCCCTAGACAACAATGGTTTTCAAAGGAACTTAACACATGTAGCCTATATTATGCATACATGATATGATCTCCAAATTAACAATCATCCTACAGTCCTGCCCCAGTTTTTCTTGCCAAAAAAGGGAGTGTGTCAAGAAGTCAACTAAAGTGATGAAAGCAATTAAAATGGTCAACAAAACATTGTAATAAGAAAACGAATAAAAAATTGGTGGGCATAACTTTTATGCGAGCAGATCCAAAATTATTATGAGCCCCTACCCAACAATTATTGATCTTCCTGTACATGAATGAATCCAAGTAAATAGATAAATCTTGTAACAAAAATATATTTAGCGACCACACATTGTTTACAATCATTGATCAATTATAAAAGATGAAGAACACATATAAAATATTGACTTTAGTATATTATTTACGGTGGCCGGTACGGGTCACCAGAAAATAATTTAGAAAACATAACAAACAATAAGAAAACATCACTCAAAATCATACTACACATTTCAAAATACTCACTACACATTTCAAAATACTCACTACACATTTCAAAATACTCGCTACACATTTCAAAATACTCACTACACATTTCAAAATACTACATACATTTCAAAATACTCGCTACATTTCAAAATACTTACTACACATTAAAATACTCACTACACATTTCAAAATTCACTACACATTTCAAAATTTACACATTTCAAAATTCTCGCTACACATTTCAAAATACTCACTACACATTCGTCCCAGTCTTACCCTGGTCTGGCCTGCCCACGGTCGTCATTAGTTTACATCTACGAAATTGACGTGATGGCAGAAAACTAATATAAATATACGCTTCCGATATTACTAACAGTTCAGTACGCGTAAGGATATTTTGATGCTATTGTGGAGATATGTTGTCTATGTGGAACTCGGCACATAGACAAACATATCGCCACAATAGCATCAAAATATGTGATACGCGTACATGAACTATTAGAAATATTTCTTCCAGGGATTTCTTGGTCTTGTTTAGACAACACAACATGAGTGGTCAATCTGCAGATTACATGTAATTGTATTTGTATTGGTGATATTGGACAATCATTAGTTTAACTAATGCACTTATTGACGTGACTGGTATTGAAGTTATAAATATATTGCGTTTACTCGAAATTACCGAACTTTTCATTTTCTTTGGCGTTTCTTGTGCAACAAATTATAGCACTATGTGTAAATTTCCACTTTGGTTTCCTTGTTATTTTTGTAACGCATCACACAAGTACGTACGCGACATAGCGAATGCAAATTCATATACTCAAATTTTTGCTATTAAAGTACGGACATGTGTCGAAAGCCACTGCAAATACATTTGCTGGCGATATGTAGCTCGTCTACTAATGTTGTTGCCCGACCAAGTCCAGCAAAACCCTGGAAGAATTTCTGATTAGAGTTCAGCCAATATTTTCATGCTATTATCCCAATGTCCCATTTTGTTTGCCTTGTGAAATGCAGAATTATATATTTAATATGCTTACTTTGTGATGTCATGTCAGTTTCGTAGATGGAAACTAATGATGACCGTGGGCAGCCAGACCAGTGTAAGACTAGGACGAATGTGTAGCGAGTATTTTGAAATGTGTAGCGAGAATTTTGAAATGTGTAGCGAGAATTTTGAAATGTGTAGTGAGTATTTTGAAATGTGTAGTGAGTATTTTGAAATGTGTACTGAGTATTTTGAAATGTGTAGTTAGTATTTTGAAATGTGTAGCGAGTATTTTGAAATGTGTAGTGAGTATTTTAAAATGTGTAGCGAGTATTTTGAAATGTGTAGTGAGTATTTTGAAATGTGTAGTATGATTTTGAGTGATGTTTTCTTATTGTTTGTTATGTTTTCTAAATTATTTTTCTGGTGACCCGTACCGGCCACCGTAGTTATTTCATTAGCAAATCAACACATATCAACAAACAAGTTTTATCATATCAAAAGTTCAAAATATGTTGATGTACATAACTAAGTGATGAAAACCCTCTACAACGATCATTTTAAGATTAAACGATGACAAAAATAACTTCCGAACAAGGGCAAATCATGTTAATCACAGTGATTTAATGTTTTGCTTCACTTATATTCATATATTTCGTATATATTTCCAATAAAATGTTTGAAATCTAATTTGACTATCTCGTTTATGTTGGCTGTATTTTATGGTTTGACAATAACCATGTTTAAATGCTTCTCAAGAATAACAAAGCAAACTAGTTTTAAGGTCGAATCATACCTACATTAGTCAAAGTCTTAAGTAAATATTAAATGAAAGACTGTCTTTGTTCTACTTAGATAGATACGTAAATTAAAATTAAATCGAGTCGCCATCTAAGGATGCAAAATCTTTATCTTACCGTTTTATTAGATGGAAGGAATATTTCTTGATATCATGATCATATATCGCCAGAAAAATATCTCCAACTTACGTTGACGTGGATATATTTGGTAACATAAAGAATTTTAAATATTTCTCACAGTCACAGCAGGCTGCCGCTTCCTTATTTACGTGCAATGTGTGTTACGCGCGCGATCTTGCGTGACTTCCACGTGTGTATGGTCAAAGGTCTTATACTTTGAGCAACTCTTAAAACAAAATATGACCAACCGTTAACTCAAACACTTTCATCAAACCGTTCATTAAAATATCTCATATGTAAATAGTAAAACACGAAAAAATAGGGCTCAATAATAACGAATTACTTTACTACATTTTTACAATGCTTATGAAAAACGAAAATGTTTTTAAAGTTTGTCATAGCAAATGTTTTTCAATACCTGTTCTGGGCCTTTCAAATCTTATGCTAGGTTTTTCGTTACCTATATCACAAGTGCTAATTAGCAGGCCGTCATGAATATGAGTGTAATTTTAAAATGAGAATCTGAAAATTTTTATTGTCAATTGTTTTTCGATCTTCTTTTTGGTGGGGACCGGTTAAGTTAGGAAGTCGGGGTGTGCAATGACGACGAACCCATACGTGCAAGACCGGTAATTGTTTTTCGATCTTGTCAATTCCTTGGAGAAGATGGCAAAATTCATTTTATTTCATGGAAATAATGAAAAAACCCATGAAAGGGGTATGACCACCTTTAAGAGCATAGCTATAAATGGTATTGTAGCATCTTTGTTGTGTCAGCTGTAGTCTGTATATTCAATGTATTACGCAATTTTCAGTCATAAGCAAAACATTATAAATGTAAATTTAAATGCATTTCATACAAAGGCAGATATTTGCGCAACTTAGAATTTCACTGTCCTATATCCAAGATGGAATCACCATTGTGTAGTATATGAGTGTGGAGACTGACAAAACTTCAGAATGTTAACATTATGCCAGTACTAACGAAAAGCGTTACAGTAAAAGCGCAGTTTTTTTGCATTAATGAACATTCTACAACATTTGGTGTTTATAGCAATTTCATTATAGCTGCTATTTCAAGCCTTTACAGTTCGTAGAAAAGTAATGCGTGCGCATTTAGATATTTCTTAGCACTGATAAAAAGTTTCTGAAAATAATGAAACATAAAATCAGCGTTGATGTTACACATCCCACGGAAAGTTTTTATTACTGACACGGACTTACTCATTTATACAAACTTTTGCCACACACCACAATACTGCAAAGTTTCCGTGTAACCTTTGTACTAAAAAGTAAGAGTTATTAAAATGATAACTCTAGCTGTAGGAGAGTAAATTTATTAAACAGCTAGTAAAGAAAAAATAGCAGACAGAAGCTTATTTTTAATCTTGTTACAACAAGTAAGGAAGGTAAGTCTGAACACTAATAAAAAAGACATTAATACGGCAATGTC